TTAACTATTTATAATAATAAAATACTAATAATAAAATAATAAAAATAATAATAAAATAAAATAGGTAAAACTCATTTATAACAATACTACAATAACTAAATACAAAGCCAAAATGGCTACCTCAATACCCAACTCTACACTCTTCTATCATAGAATTTATAATCTACAATATCTATAGGACAATCAAACACGTCAACTCATTACATATATGACTACTCTTCTCAATGATATCTATTACAACAACAATATGACTACTAGAATATGACTCTAACAATTACAAAATGCAGCTCTTACTTCTACAAATATACTCTCTTCATTAGAATTCATCCTACCTTCTTCTCATCACCATACCACAACTGCCTTTACTATTATTAAAATATATAAACTAGATATTTCACTTAGTAGTAGAATATCCTCCTAGCCAACTCTTCTCAAAATCAATAAAACTAGTATTGACAAACTACTCAAGTTATGCAACAACTTACATACAATCAAGACCTATACAAACAAGAGAAACATCTATGCAATTGAACAAATTACTAATCATAATCATACTGCACCTATTGCATAGCAAAACATAGCTCATATCACAAACAAAACACCTCATGGACTAGTTCCTAACTGGTTTAAACAACTAATCACACTGCTCAACTCCTATACATCAAACTTCCAGAATACAACTAACACCCTAGTCTCTCCTAATCTATATATACTCACAGCTATCAAATCTACCAACTATACCTAGATAACTACTACATATAACAATCACAAAATAATTGGCAGAAGCCCTAACTACACCTAATCAAACACCAAACTCACACACTAGATACCTAATACAATATCAAACAAAACAAAACTTCATAGATGTACAGGCTGTGACCTTACTACCTATACTAACAAGTTCAATCATTGTATCATAATAACTACATCCAAATAACTACTCCCTATTCACGTATCACATACTCATCTATTACAAACAGATATCAATAATATCTATCTAGCCTTACTATCAAGTTACTATACCAATACAAGTAACAACAATATAAATACTATAATACAACCACTTATACCAACTGATCTTATACCTACTATTCTAATACCAGGACCTGCAACTGACCTTCTAACAGAAATTACCTTCTGTAATTCAAAAATATCTAAACATATAGCTGATATCCAAGCCTACATCAACCAACCCAAATCATTGCAAACAAGTACTAGCTTTACTTGGACTATTGACCACACTACTAACTTCACTGCACAAATAACCCAATGACAGTACCTACTACATGCAAACTACACTGCAATCATCACAATTCTCCTAACTCTAAACAATAACTGCCAAATCAATATTCATACTACCTCTAAATCTATTATTAATACCTATTCTTTCTTACTATCTTAGTCATTACACAGACTAAACAAAATACAAAAAACAAAAGACTAGCCTTTATAGTACTTAATATTCATCATTACTGCACAGAAAAATATTCAACTCGACTTTACCCTATCAAATATTCATGTACCACAAACCAACTCTCTCAACATACTAATAATTAAATTTACTTCTAACAATATCGACTACAATATAGCTATATCTTTCTTTCAACAAAACACAATTAACAATAAACTCAGAAATACCATCAGACATATCTAACAAGCAACTCATACTGCCACATGGCACTCACAACAAAGAACAGCAAACTAGAATATTAGATGCACTACTACTAACTAGACACTCTTCCATATATATATAATTTATTTAACAATTCTAATAGCTTACATACTTTACTGAAGTACTTCATACTCAAAGCCTTCAAAATCAAATTTCTAATGGACGAACTCCCAACAACACAAAACTTATACAAACGTTAACTCAACAAAATAATCACAGATTTATGTCCATGTTGCCAACTCGAACCCGAATCTAATATACACTGGCTCATCTGCTCCAACAACAACCCAAATATCCAAACTATCCTAACTACTGTAATAACAAAATATACCAATAAAAATATAAATTCTAACAACCTTACTCTACAGACTATCGAAAATATAACTAACTACTTCACTAACTCAACCTCTAACAGAAACCTTTCAATTCTACTGCTTCAAGGTTTAATTCATTAAACTCCAAATATAAACCTATTTCAAAATCTGATGACTAGCTCAAACAACACTCTACACATAGTTACGATCCTACACAAAATCATTTGCAAAGTCTACAAACAAATTTGGCTCTCTCACTGCCAACAAATCTCCACTATAAACTATACTCTACCCTATTCAGACCGGATATACACTCTCAATATATCAATTAACAACACTACAACTAATACCACTATAACTGATGCTTCTGCTAAACTACAAAGATAAAAAGAAGCATACCTTATATCCAACATATCAGATACTTATATTGGCAACATTCCATTCCAAATCTAGATGAGGTTATTGGCCCACTCTAGTAGAGTACAGGCCGAGAGGTAAAGTAGCCCTAGCTTAGGTAACAGTAGCTTATTAATGTAACACAACTCTGTTGAATTTATATTATCAAACTCAATAAAAACTAAGACAAGGCCTTATTCTATAATAAAAAAAAAAAATTAAAATATCTCTTGAACAAGAAACAAATAATTCAAATGGAAAAAAAATTTGATTCTTTTGAGATTTTGTCTCACTGGTCTAAAATTTTGAATCCTAACAAACCAAAACTCAAACTTAATGAATATAGAATTGTTAAAATCAATGCAACTTTATTCATTGAAATATCTACTCAAACTAAAGAAATTATATTTCTCACAGATCTGAAATATTTTGAACATATCAAAAATCATACCTGGTATACTCATAAGCCAAAACATAATACATATCATATTATGACATATATCAAAAAAAATAATAAACAAACAACTTTATATTTTCATCAATTACTTCATCCTGAATAGAATCTAACAGATTATATTAATAGAATTGGATTTGATAATAGAGAACTTAACTTAAGAGATAGATCTAATAGTATTAATTAATTAAATAAAAGTTTACAAAAAAAATAATACTAGTGAATTTAATGCTATAAATTATAATAAAAAATTTAAAAGATAGGAATTTAGATTTTATAAAAATAAAAAACAATATTGTAAATATTTTAAATTAAAAGATGATGCAATCAATTTTAAATTAGATCATGATAAAATTACAGGAAACATGAACAGGAAACCTGTATAGATTTTAAATTTTTATATTTTTATTTAAATAAAGATTTTGATACAATTAGTTATCATTAAAAATTTTAATGATATGCAACTTTTACTACGCGCAAGCTTGTATCATGAAAGTCAAAAAAATATTTAATAAAACTTTCTATGAGAATGATATACTTTCATAGCTCCTAAGCTGTATGAAATTAATCCTCACTCTTAAAGAGATTCAGAATTAATTTCTATGCACAGTATATCTATAAAGTTTTTTATAGAATTTGTTTAATATTTAGATTCAGAACTTGAGCAATATCAACCAACTCAAGAATGAGTAATAACCCAAAGATCCTTTAGTTAACAGGTAATCAGGCTCAATATCTCAGGAGTCTATTCAGTTGCAGACTGAACATCTTATTTGAAATTCTTTTCTTTTGTTATAGGCATCAGAAAATTTAATAACTTTCATTCAATTCGAAGAGAATTACTTGTCAAAATACTAACCTCATAAAGAAAACAGATTTTTTGTTCAATAGAAATATCTATTAAGGCCAAAATCTTTAAAACCTTCTGAAGCAAAGTTTTTTTTTTTGACCAATTCTGCTTCTATACTATATTCTCGTTCACAATAATATTACTGAAGAGTATACTTCAGAATAGTTTAAACTTAGGTTATTATATACTTCACTGACAAAAAAGTTAGCTTCTCTCCTAAGAATTTCTGCAGTCTGGTTTAAACTTCAGGATTACATATCATATTTGTGAATGGGAAAATGTGTATTTCATCAAAGCGGAAAGAGGTGAAAAATCATAAAAATCTGAGAAATCATTGATATATGTGAGAATTTTTTTCATGCAATTTATATGTACGGCTGAGTCATGTAACTATCAGATCAGTACATCATTCTATTAATGAGTTTCTAAATTTATACATGTATATCATTATATCAATGAGTTTCTAAATTTAGATAAGATTTAAATAAAATACATACAGATATTATTATTTAATTATTCTTTTTTAGATTTATTAAAAATCAAATTTGATTTAGAGATTATACAATATTTTATTTATACATATTTTATCGATAAATTTTTTATATAAAATACAAATGTATAGATAAGAAATAAAACTCAAAATTACGATTAAAATGAACTGTAAGTAACTATTAGTATTTTGTATTTATCAATAAAAAATATTAAATATTTTTTTTAGGTAACTGTAACAAATATGATTGTCCTATCTGTCCAGGTTGGGGTCTAGTTCAGCTAATTGCAAAAGAATAAAATTTAGAATGTTTTGGTGTAAAAAATATATCAAACAATGTATATGTGGTTTTAAAAGTTAGAATTGGGATAGTATAATTTATTGTAAAATAAGTAAAAAAAATAATCATGATACGAAAAATTGTTTTTTTAAACAAAAAATAAGATATTGTAATATCTGTAATAAGCATAATTAATATTATTCTAATTGTTGGTACAACAAATATAACAATAATATTTAGTTAAAAAAAATTAAATATATATTTTTAAAATAATTATAAATTTATTTTGAATCATAATATATGTTCAAAAATATATGAAAAAAATTTAATATCGCCTTATCAACTTCTTCTTTTGTTGCCTTTGAATCAGTTTTTGTAGATTTTTGCTATTCTTTTGAATTATTTTTTGGTTTATATTTTGTCTGTTTTGGATTTGTCTGTTTTGATTTTGTTTGTCTTGGTTTTCTTAATTTTGGTTTTGCATTTGTTTTTTTTGGTTTTGTATTTTTTGACTTTATCTTTTTAAATTTTTCTCTATACTCTGTAATTATTCTATATACTTCTGTGATCTGTTTTGTTTTCTTTTCAGATTCTTCTTTATTATTAATATTTTTATCAGAATGCCAAATCAAAATCAATTTTCTATACATTTTTTTAATTTCTACATCATTTGCTTTTTCATTCAATCCCAAAACTTTATAATAGTATAATATATCTTCTTTTTTCATTTTAATTATACTTTTTAGAATCAAAAACTGCTATTCTTGATATTTATAGTTTTAATTTATTTTATGTAAATATATAATTTATTTATTTAAATTTTAAACAATTGAATAATAAAAATAAATAAAAAAAACAAGAAAAAAGTTACAATTCTTTACTATAACTATAGCTAGAAAATTAAGAAAAACTAAAACTGTCTTCTGATTTTTTAATTTTTTTAAACAAAAAACTATTGTTATTATTTTCAGTAAAAGAAAACTCTTCTATATTTTTATTTTTATCTTCTTCTTTCTTTTTAGCTTCAGATTTTTTTAATTCTAAATTTTCTTTAATTGTTTTATTAATATCTTCAAAAATCATATTAACCATATTGAATTTATTTTCTAGTAAAAAAAAAAGAAAAAAAATTATTCATTATTTTTTTGTTTAATTGGTTTTTTCTTTTTTGCTTTGTTTTCAGTTTCAGATTTTGAGTATTGATGATTTGAGCTATAAGAAAATATAACACCATCTTCTGTTATTTTCATTGTTGATCCTTGTTATCTATTACCAGTTTTATTTTTCTTTTTTTGCACTTTTTTTTTTTTACTTGAAGACATCTTTAAAAAAAAATATTAATTATTATTAATTATTATTTGTTTTATTTTTTTTTTTAATTACCTTTGATTTTTTATTTTCTCGTAAAGAATTAAAAAAAAATAATATTGTATTTTATAGGTTATTTTATTTTTATTACTTATAAAACTATTAAAAATATTCAATTGGATTTTTAAGCGTGAGAATACATCATGACATAAAAAATTTTAATCAGGTAATTTTTTTTTTATCTATGTACATATAATCTAATCTCAGACAAAAAAAAATTAATTTTTTTTTTAATGCAGAGCAAACAAAGAAGAACAATAAAATAAAAAAAAATTAATTTATTCAAAAATATCATATATAATAAATTTTATTTAAATATTTTTTTTATCATTATATTTTCTCAAAATATCAAATCTCTAAAAAAAATAGAAGTAATTTACCAAAAAATTAAAGTTTATGATAATTATGTAGAGAAAGAATTCCGCTTCAACAACAATAATAAAAAAATTGTTTCTATTTGATTAAATTTAACAGAAGACAAAGATAAAAAATTTGGTCATTCAAAATTACTAGAAGAAGACATAAAAACTGATAAGAATATCTCAAATAAAAAAGAAAGTAAAGAATTATAGAAAAAGTGATTGATAATTTTTACAGAAGGATAATTAATAATTATATCAATATAGGTAAATTATTTATCAATATAGATTACAAACCTGAGTTAAATTTAAAAAATTTTTTAAATAGAAAAGAAAAAAAATTTTTATGTAGAATAGAAGAACGTTAAATTTTTTTTTTAAATGTATTTTTTTATTTATATTTAAATTTTATTTATTCATATCTTTACAAATAAAAAAAAAATGAGTAAAAATGATAAAAAAATTATTGATCAAGAAACTGCACGTATTAAACAACTTTTAAATGATCAAAAAAATGAAATTGATACTGAAAAGAAAAAATATGATCAATTACTTGAAATGTTTTCTAATATAAAGAAGAATGTAGCTAATACTGTAAAAGAAGCTCTTCCTGAAATCTTAAATGAAGCACTCAAAGGTACTAATTCTAGTGATAATATAAAACAATTAGTAACTGAAAAATCAGGGGAAATAATAGAAAAATTAAGTGAAAAAATTAAGGATGTGGGTGTTGAAGAAAAAAAAAATGAATTACAAAATATTCAAAGAAATAAAACTTCAAAATAGAAAATTCTAAAAATAATTAATAAACGTATTAAAAGAAATCTTTATAATATTTAATAAGTTTTATTTATTTATAATTATAAAATATAAAAAAAAATATAAAAACTAATATAGATTTCTTATTTGATTTTAATAGTAAATTTATTATATAAATTAACAATTAAATATTTTATTATTTTGTATTGATATATAAATAAATAAATAAATTTAAATAAAATGTTATAAAATATGATCAAATTTTTATTTTGTTGTTTAAAAAATGTCATATTCTGTTAAACAAAAAGTTGAATTAGCAGCAGAAGCTGCTCATCTTAAACAACTTTTAAAAGACCAAGAAAAAGAACTCGAACAATGGAAAGAAATTTATACAAAGTTGCTTGAAAAAATAGGAAATATTAAAAATAATATTACTAATGCTGTTAAAGAAGCTCTTCCTGAAATATTAAATGAAGCACTCAAAGACATTAATATTGGTGATGATGTTAAAAAAACTATAAATGATGAAATGACAAAAGTTATTGAAAAAATTGATGAAGATCCTAAATATGATAATTTACAAAAACAAATTAATGATTTGAAAAATACTCAAAGATCAATTTAAAATTTAACAATAAATTTAAGTTTATTTTTTTTATATGTTTATTATTTAAATGTATTTTATTTTTTTTTATAAAAATTGTATAAATAAATAAAAATATTTAGTTATTTTAAAAAAAAAATGGCTATACTTTATTTACATTTAAGAAATTGGCAAAATAAATATAGTTCAGTTATTCAAATGCAACAAAATATAAATAAAAGAATTAATTATTATAACAATAGTGGAAGATTTCAAAAAAATAATAAACAATTATTAAATGAAATAAATAAATTACGTAAAGATCTTGTTCAAGCTAAAAAAAGAAGCAGAAGAAGCAAATAAATTATATCTTGAAGAAAAAGAAAAACTAGAAAAAGAAAAAGAACATCATAATGAAACAAAAAAAGAATTAGAAGAAGCTGAAAAAGAACGTGACAAACTTAAAGAAAAAAATAAAGAAGAACAAAAAAAATATAAAGAACTTGAAGAAGAAAACAGAAGATTAGAAAAAATTATTGAAAATCTTAAACAAAAACATAAAATAGAAATTAACTAATTAAACCAAAAAATTAAAGATAAAGATTATGAAATTAATAATCTAAAAAATAAATGCGATAGATATAAAATGATATATGAAACTCAAAAAAATATAATTGAAAATTTAGAAAAAGATAAGAAAGAATTAAATGATCTCTATGAACAATGTAAAAGAAATCATGTAGATTATGATTCTATAAAGAACCAATTAGAAACTATTAAAAAAAATAAAGATAGATTAGAAAAAGATAACGAAGAATTGAAGAATAAAATGAATGAAAAAGAAAAAAAGATTGATGAGATAAATAATAATGTTAAAGAAATTTTTAATATAGTTAAAGATTTACCTCTTACATTATTACATGAATTAGTTAAAGAGATAGAAAAAAATAATTATAAGACAGTTGATATCAACGAACAAATAAAAAGACTACAACAATTATCTAAATAATTATTAAACTTTATTTATTTTTTATTTAACTATATAAATTATTTTACAATAAATATATATTATTTATATAATAAACTATATTTAGTTATAAAAATAAAAATAAAAATAAAAAAAAAAAATTTACTTCAATTTAGTAGGAGTTTTTAAATTTATATTGACAAGTTTTTCTTTAGGTAGAAGAGTTTCTACACTAATGAGTTTTTCTTTAGGTGGAACAGCTTTTTTTTGAACATTTTTACATCTAAGATAAAGTATTTCAGCATCTTTTGCTTGCTTTTTCACATTATCATATTGTTTATGATAACTTTTTACTTGTTGCAAAAGCTTGTAAAGTTTAACTGATCCATATTTTGATAATTCAACACTCTTTTGGTACCATGTTCTATAAAGTGATTCTGATTTTCTTTTAGCTTTTTGCCAGTTATCGTACAAAAATTTTTCAGATATTTAGTATTTTGATTTTTTTTTATTAATATAAATGAAAAAAAATCTTTTAATAAGAAAAAAAATTTATATTGTTTTTAATTTAAAATGTTCATTATCTGATGAATATTATACTTTTTTTGGTTTTATTGATATTATACTCAAAAAACAGTTTTTAAGAAAAAATATCTGAAATATATTCTCATAATAAAAGCAAATAAAATCATTGTATAAACATATATTTATGTTTTACAAAAAAAAAATATACGTATTTATAATTATTTTAAATAAAGTTTTTTTGTTTTAAATTTATCTAAATTTGTATTTATTGTTTTGTTATCAACTCTGATGAAGCACGTTTATTGTTTTTAGACTTGTATTTTTTTAATTTCTATTCATGTTCTTATTTAGATTTAGAATATTGATACATGCTAATCTTTTTTAAATAAGTCAGGTGATTGATAAAATATTTTAAAAAAATGTAATAATTAGATTATACTTTTTTGGTTAACTTTAATGATATATACATATGATTATTTAAAATTCTTTGTTATATTTTTTACATAAACTTGTTTAGATTTTTTGAACGATTAAATTTTTTTTAAATTTTTTTTTATACAAAATGATAAAATTTGAAAATAAAAATATGAATATATCTCAACAACAAACATATCAAAAAACTAATTTCTTATTTGAAATACAAACTGAATTAAACAAGCAACTCATACTGCCACATGGCACTCACAACAAAGAACAGCAAACTAGAATATTAGATGCACTACTACTAAC